AAAAAAAAACATAAATATTCATATATGATGTATGATGGAATCTCATAAACACAAATTGACTCAAAAAATGACAAAAAATTAACAAACAATATGTGCTGTTATGTTCAGCTCTTACAACCCTAGATCCAGCCTAAGCCAACAAAAAATGGCCAATTTACATACATACTACGCAATTCTTATATATTTGCATATCTAACACCTAAGGTTTGGTATTTATCCTTTTAACATCTTAGTACAAGAAAGGTGTATCTCACTTTTTAAAATAGTAATTGTGGTGCTTTGCTGTGATGTTAAATATTTGAGTGGTATGCATGCAAATATCAATGTTTAGATGTTATATATGTAAATACATAATACTTGTGTGATATGTATGTAAACACTCCCCAAAAATAATGAATCTTGGTCAAGGATTTTGCAATGAACAAACAAAAGCAAGAAGCAAGTTCCTTTAGGAACCAAGCAGCTTCTTCCATCTAGCATATAGCAGCAGGAGCAAGAAGATGAGGAAAGAAACTGCTGTTGATCCGACGACGAATGAGGGGAACAGGTTGTCAATGTTGAACAATGAGCACGGAATGTTCATACCAAATAGTCCGGCTATCATCGAGTCGACTCCCATTGCGAATGAGAAGATGCCCAAAAACAGCTGAAGTTTAATCAGTTCATTTCTTTGATTATCCAGCTGAAAATTCACATAATGTTCTGTGTCATCAATGTATTCCCTCATCTGTGGATCAAAAAGATGGCATATGAATGAATGACAAGCGATTTTACTCGTAATAATATAAAAGAGAATAGTGGCATTTACATACATACCATAGCACATAATTCATATGTATATTCATATTTACATGCATATGACTCATATCTTTAACATCATGTCAAAAATATCACAATTATTATATTTTTAAATGTGAAAAAATATACCTTTCATACATAGATTCATGACACCAAGGCTCTATAAATGTAAAGACTCCAATTTTTAGGCCGAAAGATTGATAGCGATATCTTAAATAAAGTTAATAATCTCATGGCATATCTAAAGCATAGATTATGATGCATGCTATATCAGCAAATATCAAAGAACATCATCAAATATACCCTAGAAATCACAAATCTATGATTTGATGCTTCAACTATGTTACACTAAATCTATTCCCAAGTGACCAAAATTATGGCTAGAAATTTTTTTTTTGATGCAATTGATAGGGATAAATTTGATTTGCAGGTTATGTATTTATATATATAACACTTCAATTTTTAAAAGCCCCTGAGGTGATAGATAGGTAAATACATACGAATTGGGTGACATGTACGTAAAAGCCCCTTATAAATTTTTCATCACATGAAGGTGCTATGATAGGCTCTAAAAGCTAACTCAGAAAAAGACAGATAGAATAAAATATAAAGTAAAAAAATATTCTTATGCTAAAAACCAAAAACAAAAGCAAGATTTTCTTCTATCACATGCATGTTTCCACTAATTTACTCTCTAGCATTTTCTATCCTTCAGAAATATGCAATCACACGAAAATGCTATGATAAGCTCTAAAAGAAAACTCAGCAAAAAGCAAGCATAATAAAATATAAAATAAACAAAATATTAAGATGAAAAACGAATGAATGTTGCTAATAAATTCACCCTGAAATTTGGTTGACATATTAAATGAGTTAAGAGACTAAATTAAGGTTTTTATAAACTCTGAGAATAAAAGGACCCTATACAAGACATTTTTCTTGAAAAAACTAAAAACCACATAAAACTTTAAGACTATTAGACATTATATCTATGGGGAGGAGGAAGACATACCGCCAAGATTTTATTACGGGTCCCCTCCAATTGCATGAAGGAAGCCTCAAACATCATTTCTAAATCCTCCACATTGTTCTCATCTAAAGGAAAACTAACAGAGCTTGAGCTGCCTCCAGCTTGAGAGTTTAACCTTACATATTGTGGAGCAGGAACTGTGCTGATTGAAGTTGCAGCGGCCAATGCTGCTTCAAGTTGATGACTCTGCATTTGCTTTCTTGTCAGATAAAACTGGGGCATATCTTCGTTATTATCCAATAGATGCTCAATTTCATCCCTAACCTGGTAATATTGAAATTATTCCATAAACACTACTTCAATTATAAAAATTTGATGCACTGAAAACATTTCAAGAGCACGTTATGGCATTCAAAAAAACATATAAATTTGCAGTGAAA